GCTGTATGAAAATTGGTCCTAAGTAGGCGTGTCTTGAGAGAACTTTTATTATTTAGACATAATATCACATCTAAAGACTATTACTGGTTCGACAAGCAGTTATTTTAGTCGGATGAAACTGAGTGTTGTTTATTTACTAATAAGGGGCATTCGATACTTTTACTTGTTGTAATACTAGATTTAGCTTGAGGGTATTTTTTTTCTTCAGGGATATGTTGGTAAAAGTAAAAATGTTTTATGACAGTATTGCGTTAATAGATTATGATACGGGCCGCGTATCACAGGCAAACACACAAACGCCCGCACACACACACACACACACACACACACACACACACACACACACACACACACACACACACACACACACACACACACGCACACACACACACACATATATCTATCATGATTCTTGCCATTTATATTCCAGTCTTTTGCATTTTTATCTTTGAGTTTCGACAACAAAATCTCTTAAAAAAACATTATATAATATTTTTTAACATTTCATACATTGCAAAAATAACAGTATATTATTTCCAGTTCGAGATCTCCACGCTATTTAAATCTATCCCACAAATTCAAATGGTAGATATTAAGTTGCATAAATTGCATAATGTTTGAAGTATTATTATTATTATATATATATATATTATTTTTCTTTTTACAATTTCCTCTGGATTTGTGGTATATTGCAGTATATATCACATACGGTGGAGGTTAATGTTGATGGTGAATGGTTAATATTAAAGAAATGTTATATGTTATATGTTATATGATTATGCTATATGTCAAAGGGCATATGTCATATATTATGTAATGTCATATGTTTACGTTAAGTAACGTTATATGCTTATGTTATGTAATGTTATATGTTCATGTTATGTAATGTTATATGTTTATGTTATGCAATGTTATATGTTCATGTTATATATTATATGTTAAATGTTATGTAATGTTATATGTTTATGTTATGCAATGTTATATGTTCATGTTATATATTATATGTTAAATGTTATATACTGTTACATCAAGCATGGTAAATCTTAAGGTATTTTAGTCGTGAGTTGGTGATTAATGAGTTGGCACATCCTACTGGAAAAGGAAATAATAATGGAAAGGAAGAAATTGTATGTTTCAAATGAAATGAAATTACAAGGAACATAAAAATAAATAAATAAATAAGAATTCAAACCAAAAAAAAAAGACCTTTTTTTCGTCTTCGTGCTGAACTTCCCCATTGACAAAAGGAAAGAAAAATACAATCAACTCACACCTAAATCCCGAAGATTAACCAAACGGCTTTTGGACAACGACCCCCCCCCCTCAAAAAAAAAGAAAAGAAAAAAAAAGTCGTCCGGTCAAATTGGAAAATTGAATGCACAGGAATAAATTCTAAATCCTGGACAGGCAGCTGAATGCCACTGAGAACCCAAGTTGTTGTGGCACCTTGACATGTTGTGGCACCTTAACATGTGGCACCTTGACATGTTGTGGCACCTTAACATGTGGCACCTTGACATTCTGTGGCACCTTGACATGTTGTGGCACCTTGACATGCTGTGGCACCTTGACATTCCGTGGCACCTTGACATGATGTGGCACCTTGACATGTGGCGCCTAGACATGTTGCGGCACCTTGACATGTGTCAACTTAACATGCTGTGGCACCTTGACATGTTGTGGCACTTTGACATGTGGTGGCACCTTGGCATGTTGTGGCCCCTGACATGCTGTGGTACCTTGACATGCTGTGACACCTTAACATTTTGTGGCACCTTGACATGTTGCGGCACCTTGACATGTGGCACCTTGACATGTTGTGGCACCTTGACATGTGGGACCTTGACATGTTGCGGCACCTTGACATGTTGCGGCACCTTGACATGTTGTGGCACCTTAACATTTTGTGGCACCTTGACATGTTGCGGCACCTTGACATGTGGCACCTTGACATGCTGTGACACCTTAACATTTTGTGGCACCTTGACATGTGGCATCTTGACATGTGGCGCCTAGACATGTTGTGGCACCTTGACATGTTGTGGCACCTTGACATGTTGTGGCACCTTGACATGTAGTGGCACCTTGACATGTTGTGGCACTTTAACATGTTGTGGCACTTTTACATGTGGCACCTTGGCATTCTGTGGCACCATGACATGTTGTGGCACCTTGACATGCTGTGGCACCTTGACATTCCGTGGCACCTTGACATGATGTGGCACCTTGACATGTGGCGCCTAGACATGTTGCGGCACCTTGACATGTGTCAACTTAACATGTTGTGGCACCTTGACATGTTGTGGCACTTTGACATGTGGTGGCACCTTGGCACGTTGTGGCCCCTGACATGCTGTGGCACCTTGACATGCTGTGACACCTTAACATTTTGTGGCACCTTGACATGTTGCGGCACCTTGACATGTGGCATCTTGACATGTGGCACCTTGACATGTTGTGGCACCTTGTCATGTTGCGGCACCTTGACATGTTGTGGCAT